GGGCAGGATATTCTATCAGTATGAACCCCAAATAGGCTGAAACCTGCACTTATGGGTGCGTTTAAGCGCGGTCCCTAAACGCACTCGCATTGGGGCTTGAGGGTTAAGGGGCAGGATACTCTATCAGCATGAACCCCAAATAGGCTGAAACCTGCACAATGGGTGCGTTTAGAGGCGGTCCCTAAACGCACTCGCATTGGGGTTTGAGGCTTAAGGGACAGGATAAAAATTCTATCAGTATGAACCCCAAATAGGCTGAAACCTGCACAATGGGTGCGTTTAGGCGCGGTCCCTAAACGCACTCGCATTGGGGCTTGAGGGCTAAGGGGCAGAATGTTCTACCAAATAGGCTGAAGCCTGCACTATGGAAGCGTTTAGAGGCGGTCCCTAAACGCACTCGCATTGGGGTTTGCGGCTTAAGAGACAGGATATTCTATCAGTATGAACCCCAAATAGGCTGAAACCTGCACCATGGGTGCGTTTAGGTGTGGTCCCTAAACGCACTCGCATTGGGGGTTGAGGCTTAAGGGACAGGATAATTATCAATATGAACCCCAAATAGGCTGAAACCTGCACAATGGGTGCGTTTAGGCGCGGTCCCTAAACGCACTCGCATTGGGGTTTGCGGCTTAAGAGACATGATATTCTATCAGTATGAACCCCAAATAGGCTGAAACCTGCACAATGGGTGCGTTTAGGCGCGGTCCCTAAACGCACTCGCACTGGGGCTTGAGGGTTAAGGGGCAGGATATTCTATCAATATGAGCCCCAGATAGGCTGAAACCTGCACTATGGGTGCGTTTAGGCGCGGTCCCTAAACGCACTCGCATTCGGGCAGGATATTCTATCAGTATGAACCACAAATAGGCTGAAACCTGCACCACGGGTGCGTTTAGGGGCGGTCCCTAAACGCACTTGCTTGGGGTTTGAGGGTTAAGGGGCATGATATTTGATCAACCAGATTATCCCTTTCGCGGCGCCTTCCGCCGCGCTTTCGCGGGCCTTTCGCGGATACTAAAAAACAAGCAGAAATCTATGTAAAATATTCGCCATTAAAAAAAAGAAGACAAGGGTTTGCGGATAACGCCCATATACCCATGAATCTCCAAGCAGGGTTTAGAGGTCAGGGTGTAGGGTTTACATATAACCCTTTTTGGGGTACTTACATCCCATGAACCTCGAAGTACGGTCGAGGGTTTAGGGATTAGGGGTGTAGAGTCTAGGGTTTCAGGGTGCAACATGTCGAGCTGAGATTTTCGGGCCGTGTCTCAGAATAGTCTTGACATCCAGGTGCGCCAGCCAGAAGTGCTCCTGAGCTTAGGGTTTGTAGGGTTTGTAGGGTTTGTAGGGTTTGTAGGGTTTGTAGGGTTTGTAGAGTTTGTAGGGTTTGTAGGGTTTGTAGGGTTTGTAGGGTTTGTAGGGTTTGTAGGGTTTGTAGGGTTTCTATGTGCACTTCAGAAAGTTGGAACATGGTTTAAGGATGATGAGAGCTGAGGATTCGCTGTAGTAAACCGTTTGGGGTATGGGGATAAGGATATTCCAGCTTTTCGGAGTCTACTGTAGGGTTTTGGGTTCAAAGTTTGGATTCCTGAGTTGAAGGGCATATTATTAGTAGCCCTAAACCCTAAACCCCTAAGGGCTGAGAATCTGTGTGTAGGCTTACAGAGTTTGTAGGGCTTACAGGCGGCTTTGCAGGGCTTCTACCCTGGAACCCTACTTGGAGGTTCATGGGACTTAACAAGGATAACCCCTACCAGGCCCTTTAGGGGAATTATAAGTAGGGTTATAAGTACAGTTATAATGGGTTAGTAAGTACCACGAACCTCCAAGTACCCAAAACCCCAAAACCCGAAAACGCATTGCTTCAGCCCTCAGCCCTGAAGTCCCTACCGTTTTGGGTTTCTTCAGGGGTGTCTAAGTCTGGGGTTTGGAGCTTTGGGGGTGTGTAGCGCGTTTATGGGATCAGCGTTCCTAAGCCCTAAGCCCTAAACTACTGGCCACGGCTCGTTGGCGCTTCGCACGACCAGGACTCGGATCGCATCGTCGCGGGCTACACGCTTCACCATCTCACCGAACTCCTGGCAGCTCTTCCCCTGAAACATAAATCCTGAACCCTAAACCCTGAACCCTAAACCCGAAACCCTAAACCCTACACCGCAAGCCCTATATCCAAGGGTCGTCACATGGTCCCTTAAATAGGGGCCCTTACATGGGGACCCCCTAAGAGCCCATAAGCACCCTCTAAGGTAAGGGACCACATTGAGGGCCCATGAAACTGCCCTTAGACCAAACCCTAAACTACTGAGTTGGTGAGTTCATAAGCCTCAAAAAAAGTGTACACGTTCAGCTCTATAGGGGTTTAGAGTATCCCAAAAAGACTCAGCAGCTAAGACTAAACCCTAAACCGGGCTAGATCGTCGGGGCCCGAAGCTTCGGACTAACCTAAAGACATTTGAAGCCCCCGGAACTCATGAACCTGAAGCAGTGCATCATAGAGGGTCCCGAGGCCTTCCCCGGAAAAAAGTGTAGGGCTTAGGCTTTGGGAGCAAGAACTTTACGAAGTAGTAGGGACTACGCGGCACCCCCTTTGACGGGGAGATGTGGGGAATAGGGATACCTGGGTGGGGGTTTTGGAGTTCCAACCCTGACGCGCCTTGCATAGTTGGCGGTTAGTGTTTAGGGCTACTTGGAGGCTCATGTGAAGTAGGGTTATAAGTACCCTAGTTGCCATAGTTGCAACCCTAACCCCTAACCCCTAACCCCTAACCCCTAACCCCTAACCCCTAACCCCTAACCCCTAAACCCTAAACCTAAACCCTAAACCCTAAACCCTAAACCCTAAACCCTAAACCCTAAACCCTAAACCCCAACCCTAAACCCTGGCTCCTTGAACAGCTTTCCGGTGATGAGGTTGATCCCGGCCTCGTCGCCCGAGTTCATCGTGGCGATGCAAACCCCATTCTCACTGAGCTCCAGCCTCAAGAACTTAGGGTTTAGGGTTTAGGGTTCGGGGCTTAGTATAGGGTTTAGGGTTTAGGGTTAGGGGCTTAGTATAGGGTTTAGGGTTTCAGATTTGGGGCATAGGGTTTAGGGTTGGCTTGCCTCTCCAGCTACCAGGGAGTGAAATGTTTAACTTCATTCAGGAAACCCAGGCAGTTTGACGTTCTACCATGGGCCGCGGAAGCTGGTGCCACAGGAAGTAGGTACTTGGGGGTTCCGTAGGTAGCTACAAGTAGGGTTTAGGGTTTAGGGTTTAGGGTTTAGGGTTTAGGGTTTAGGGTTTAGGGTTTAGGGTTTAGGGTTTAGGACTATGACTACCCTAGATGGGGTTCTGAGTTGCCATACTTGTCACCTTACTTATAGCTATCCATGAACCTCGAAAGAGGGTTTGATAAGGACCCCGGTAGCCCAGTAACCATATCACAAGGAGGGCACCCTTTTTGGGGTTGGTTAAGGGAAGCCAGAACCAAACAAAAAGGGTAAATACATGGTACTGCCAAGGGGCTTTGGAGTTTGCTTGTGCTTCAGGGTTATGTCCAGAGCTTCACTTTTCAGCCCCGTTTTAACCGTGAACCCTGAACACTAAACCCTAATACCTGAACTCTAAACCCTAAACCCTAAACCACAAACCCTGTACCCGAAACCCTGATCACTAAACCCTGAAATCTAAACCCTAAACCCTAGACCCTAGACCCTGAACCCTGAACTCTGCGAGTGCTTTGGTGGCCTGGGGCTCTTGTGGCTCACGGCTTCGGGGGCTTGGCAGCTCTGAGGGTTCGGAGGTTCCCAGATCTTCCAAGTAAGTTTCGGGTAGGGTTTAGGGTTTGAATTTGGGGTTTGGGGTTTGGTTAGGGTTTAGGGTTTTAAGGGGTCTTGTAGGGGTCCTGGTTTTAGGGAATTTGGGCATATCTAGTCATACTCCTAATGTTGAGGGTTTAGGGCCCGCAGGGCTCCTTAGATTGCATCAGGTTTCGCAATCCAGGGGTGCCCGTTTGTACGGGGCTCTGAAACAGGCTTTAAAGGGGATGGGGGCTATATTGGGGTAGCCCTATTTGGGGAAGTACATAGCGCGCTTTATGGTTCAACGGCATATTCCCTATTTTCAGGGTTTGACAGCTTGAAGGGATTGTGAATATTTGTGGCGTGATTTGTCTTGTTGGTCGTGCTTTGGGGCGTTGTCTGTGGATTTCGGACTTGGCAGTTTGCGTCTTTTGGGGCTCAAGGTCTGTGTCAAACAGGGCTAAACCCTAAACCCTAAACCCTAAATCCTAGGGTCATGGAAAGAGCTTCCGCCACGAGGCTTGATGGTCTTCCACTTCTCGGCATAGCTTGGCACCACCACCATGCCGCCACGTGTCAACCCTCGAAACAGCCCGCTTGGGCCTCTATATCTGTATATACAACATATTTGTATGTGTATATATATATATATGTGTGTAATGTATGTGTAGGTATGTATACATATACATGTGTATATTATGTGTTACATATATATATGTATATGTGTATGTATATAGGTCAACCCTCTGTCTAAGCTCCCTACGAAATGCAGGCAGACATAGGGTTGAGGCTTCATGTTGTAGAGTGAACCAATGCCAGTAGGGACGTAGGCATGCTATTCACACAAGGTGCACGCTTTGCTCGAGGGTGTTGTTGGTGATTTAGCGAACCTACAGAGGGCCGCCTGCAATCGGTTTAAGAACCTTGAGCCAGACCGCTTCCAGTTAGCTAGAACATGCCAGCAACAATAAGCCTCACCCCTATGTATTACTAGACCCAAGAGTAAGCTAGGAATCAAAAAGGGTACCCCTTTTTAGTTTAAACGGGCTTGGCAGGGAATCCGAATAAGGAACTACTCTGAGTCCTAGACAAAAACAATCTCCGGCCCGCAGCTGTCCCCTACCACCCCAAAAACTTAAGCCCTACACCCCAAAACCAAATACTCCACACCCCAACACCCTTTACCCGAAGACCCTAAGATTCTGGTCTTGGAGTCCGGCTCAAGAAAAGCGGAGGCAGTGGGTGGCGGGTTGTAGAGCAGAGACTGCCAATCCTGAGCCAACCCATGGGATAAGGGCTTTCAGGGTTCAGGGTTCAGGGTTTAGGGTTTAGGGTTTAGAGGTTTAGAGCTTCCAGATTTAGCTCTCTACTAGCCTCTGCAACGTGTATACTAGTCAGGTGAAGGAGTCCACTGTGTTCGACGCCCACCCGAAACCCCTGTAGCCTGGGTTCTAGACAGCTGCAGGGCGTGGGCTCTGAAGCTCCAAAATCTCGGAGTCCTAAGAGCTGCTCGCTCAAGCCTGTGAACCCTGAACCCTGAACCCTGGACCCTGAACCCTAAACCCTAAACCCTAACCCCTAACCCCTAAACCCTCAACATTCCCACCCTGCAGGCGCGAAAGCTCCCCCGCCTCCATGTCGGGCTCGCGAAACTCGGTCAAGGAGAAGAGGCGCGCCCCAGGGCTGGCAACGCTTCGTATAAATTATATATATATATGTATATGTACAAACGTATACGGGTTTAGAGTGTAGGGTTTAGGGTTTAGGGTTTAGGGTTTTGGGTTTAGGGTTTAGGGTTTAGGGTTAGGGTTTAGGGTTTAGGAATCAGGGTTTAGGGGTTTAGGGTTTAGGGCTTAAGGTTTGGGATTTAGGATTTAGGGGTATTTATCTATATATGTATTCATGCAGGTACTATTCCTCATTCTTTGGTCTGTGCATTGATCCTTGTACTCCTGAATACATGCCGTGTCCGTACTCTCTCGATATGTATATATATATATATATGTACATATGTATGTCCATATGTGTATATGCCTCTTTCTATATCTAGATAGTTTCCCCACAGTGTGCCAACGCGGAAGGGCTCCAACGTGTAGAGAAACAGGTTTAGACCAAGTGGGGCGCACGGAGCGCTCGCTGTGGATCCTGGGATTTTCCTCGAAGCTTGCTCACATCTTGGTACCCTAAACCCGAAACCCTAAACCCTAAACCCCAAACCCTAAACCCTAAACTCTCTCGCCTGGTCGTGGGCGTGGCCGCGCTCGCCGTCCTCAAAACTGTCATCGCTCTGTGGCTTCTCGAAACTGTCGTCGCTTTGGACCTCTGGGTTCACCTGCGAAACGCTCATCACTTTTTGGCTTCTGGGCTCGTGAAATGCGAAACTGTCGTCGCCTTCGGACATCTGGGTTCGCCAAATGCAAAACTGTCACTGCTTTTGGACGTCTGTGCTCACATAGTCTCTCACTGTTAGGTGTCTACGCTGGCATAATATGATTGCGTGTAAATAAATAAATAAATATATATATATATATATATATCTATATATATATAGACATGTATATATGTATATGTATATACATATAAATATAAATATCAGTATAAATATAAATATAAATATAAAAAAACTAATATGAATATACATATGAATATAATTATATATATATATATAGAAATATTGCACACACACACACACACACACATACCTCTCCACACAGCAAGGCAGCGCCGGTTTCTGTGGCCTGGCCCCAACAACCCCCCCCCCCCCCCCCTAGGGGTGAACACCCTGTGGGGGGGGGGGGGGGGGGGGTGTCCCAGAAACCGTCAGTAGTAACTTCCCACACATGTTACAGTTGCAGTGTCGATGCTTTTTTTGAGGGGAGGCTTTGGGGAGGGGGTTGAGGTGGGCGGGGGACTTGGCGGTAACCCACCCAGAGTGGGGAAACTAAACACAAAACTGCCAACCACACTGAGAGTCGGCCCTTTGTAGGGCTTAGGGTTTTAGAGGTTGATGTAGGGTTTATAATCTAAACCCTAAACCCTAAACCCTAAACCCTAAACCCTAAACCCTAAACCCTATAAGGTGTAATTAGTGTTCAGGGTTTAGGGTGTGTAGGAAGGGAACCGAGCAGGGGACCCAATCTCTTAGCAACCCCGGCATCTCAACAACCAGGCCAACGCAGATGCTCACGGTGTGGCCATACAAGCACCTTGGCATTCCGACCCTGCCATCTGCCAGGGTTATTTAGGGTTTAGGGTCTAGGGTCTAGGGTCTAGGGTTTAGGGTTTAGGGTTCAGGGTTTAGGGCGAGCTTCTGAAAGGCCGCGGCCTGCCTTGGGGACCAAATTAAGGCCCCCCAAATTTGGATCGTATTCCCTAGCCTACCACCATTAGAATCAAGAAAAAGAAACAAGGTCCATGGACCACAAGCCCGTCTTTAGGGCTTTGTCAGTCCACTTAAAGAAACCACTGGAACATCAACCCTTTTAGGGTTCATGTAATCTACAAGGTACCAACACCCAAATGGACCCCCAAACCCTAAACCCTAAACCCTAAACCCTACACCCTAAACCCTAAACCCTAAACCCTAAACCCTAAACCCTAAACCCTAAACCCTAAACCCTAAACCCTGAAATCAAACAAAGCTCCGGGCGGACCTTGCGGTGCGGTGGTGCCTCCAGAGGTGAACCGGCGCCCCGGGCTTCAGGACGTTGTCGCAGAGCTGGCGGAAGAAGAGGGCTGGTGGAGCTTCGGCGGCAAAGAAGGGTTTAGGGTTTAGGGTTTAGGGTTTGGGGTTTGGGGTTTGGGGTTTGGGGTTTGGGGTTTGGGGTTTAGGCTTAGGGTTTAGGGTCTAGGGTTTAGGGCTTAGGGAACCCCAAACCTCTTTCGTTTGGGGTTGGCTAGCTTCGAAAAAGGACGTCGGAACCCCAAAAGGGGCGAGGCGCAAAGCTAGGCTTCCTCGCCCTACGGCTCTCTCAGGTTTGGGCTGTTAGGTCTCAGGATTAGGATTGAGGGTTTAGGGTTTAGGGTTTAGGATTGAGGGTTTAGGGTGCGCTATAGAGCTTATGGTATGGTATGGTGTCCAAGGCGAGCATGCCGAAAGGCATGGGGGACGAGCAAGAGGTATTACTCTCCCACCAGGCTGATGCACGGCTCAGGGTTTCTAAGGTTCGGCTTCAGGGTTTACGGCTTAGAAGTCCACGACTTGGCAAGCTGGCTGGTGTACGTTGCATTGGCTGAGGGTTTGGGGCTGAGGGTCACCACTCTCACGGACCTGCCCGCCCCAAACACCCGCAAGAAGAGCTGGTCCCAAGCTCGGTTCCTCAGTTTCTGGTGTACCTTGAGGAATATATGCCCACAATTAAGCCCCAGACCCCTCCTAAACCTAAAGAGTCTTAATTAGGGCTACCCAAAGGTCTTTCAGATCTAGCAGTTACGTTGGGTGGGACAAACCCTAAACCCTAAGCCCTAAACCCTAAACCCTAAACCCTAAACCCTAAACCCTAAACCCTAACCCTAAACTCTTGCGGAGTCCGACGCTGAGGACGGGACTAGCAAAGAGTTGGGGCACAGGACCCCCGAGATGCGGCAGTCACGGAAGTCCTGGCTGCTAGGGTTTAGGGTTTAGGGTTCAGGGTTTAGGGTTTAGGGTTTAGGGTTCAGGGTTCAGGGTTTAGGGTGTAGGGATTTAAAATCCAAGTATGGGTCCTTAATGTGGTCCCTTGTTATATAACCCTTATATACACCATACACAATAAGGGCCCATACTTCGGATCCCCATGAACAAGGGCAAGGGACCATACTAAGGGCCATGGTTCCTAAACCCTATAAAGCCATGTGTAGGCTCATCAAGGGAATAAGCTGGTGATACTCACGGATTCTTAGTGGGGTTTAGGGTGCGGGGTTCCCTTTTCTAGCCCCCTTTCTTGGGGGGGGTTTCCGAATCTCATTCCCCAATAATTACCCTACTAAGAACTGCTGAGGTAACTTACAAAGAGACCCCAAAAGGGCGGGGGAGGGTGCGAACGAGGAGCGCAAACGTCAAGAAATCCGGCCAGCCCCGGCCGTAGAGTCCCTGATTTGACCCACCAAGCCGATGCCCCAGATTTGCTAGGGGGGTCTGGGGTTCCCCTAAACCCTAAATCCTAAAACCCTAAACCCTAGACCCTAAACCTAGTATCCCCTAGAAACCTTATCTTAATCCCCATAACCCAACTTACTAACCCTAAACCCTACCCCTTAAACCCTGAACCTATAGACCCTAAACCCTAAGCCCTAAACCCCTAGCCCTACTTACTAATTCAAAAGAGCTTCCAAGTAATCGACGGGGGAGTCTCCGGGTTAATGGCTCCTCATGGAAGCGAGTGCCCTTGTGGTCCATGAAGGTGAAGGGCACGCTTCTGTCCTTCGAGGCTTTCTTAGGGGCTTTCTTAGGGTTTGGGGTTATTAAGGTTTAGGGTTTAGGGTTTGGGTGGGTTGAGGGTTTGAAGTTTGAGGATTCGGATTTAGGCTTTAGATTTCGGGGTTTCGACGTATTCTGGGGCCGGTGTTTGCGTCAGCTTGTCTTGTCGAGCCCTTCCTTTCGGGGCGAGCTTAAGGCTGAGGGTTTGGGGTTTAGGGCTCAGCAGCTTTTTGGAGGCTTGGGGTTCGGAGGTTAAGGGCCTGTGAGACCAGGGGCTTGGAAGATAGATAGTGCCCAGGACATATAGCAGTTCACCTATTCATACGAGAAAGCAAAGATGGTCGGCGCTGGACTGGGAAATGCCATATACTGACATGAAAAAAAAAAAAAAAAGCTCGAGGCAGAGATCGGCGATGGCCGTGGCCAGTAACCAAATTGGCGCTGATGAGCACTTCGCGAGGTAGCAGCAGAATCGGCGGGTAACCCCGGACGTAAGCACGGTGGTGCACGTAGACGGTCAACGTGCTGCTGCTTGTTTGTGGTGTCGTGCGCTTAGAGGCTTACTGTGTTGTTGCAGCATACTGGATACGCCCGAAACCAGCCAGCGAGACCAGGTAGGCGCTCAAACACCAAGCATGGGAGTGATGGGAACTACTCCCCAGGAGGTGAAAGAATCCCTAAAGCCCAGAGTACTGAGCTTAATCGATGGAAAGCATTGCAAATATTGCAAACCAGAAGCCCGAAAATTGAAAAAGCGCGGGCGCAGAGCCTACAAGGAACAGCATGAAGAGGCCTAATATAGATTGAAGCAGGCTATAACAATTCTGTGTACCTGTAGCAATTGTGTCACTGTGAGTTTGGGCGCAGGATAAAACTAGAGACCCAAGACCCCCCCCCCCCCAAAGGGACGAAGTCGTATATTTATGGGGTTTTGTTTAGGGATTAAGCTTTAGGGTTCATTTTGGGCTTCGAGTTGATATTGGGTTTGGGGTTGTTGGGGTGTAGGGTTGATAGGGCTTAGGATGGCATCAGGGAACTGCCCACAGGGCCCCTAAACCCTCAACCCTCAACCCTAAACCCTAAACCCCAAACCCTAAAAAAGGGGGAAACATAAGCTCAACCCTAGACCCTAAAACCCTAAACCCTCAAGTCCTTAACCCCACAAAGCTTCCAAGAGCCCTGAACCCTGAACCCTACAAGCTCAACCCTAAACCCTAAAACCCCTAAACCCTCAAGTCCTTAACCCCACAACACCCTGCAAACTCTAAGCCCATACACCCAAAAGCCTTCATGCCCCAAGCCCTACAAACCCTAAAACTCTGAACCCCATAAATCCCTAAACCCTAAACCCTAAACCCTAAACCCTAAACCCTAAACCCTAAAACCCTAAACCCTAAAACCCTAAACCCTAAACCCGCGAAAGCCCTGTAAGTCCAAAAGCCTTCGACTCCAAACGTCAAGGGGTGGTGGGATGGACCCTTGGGGCTTGATATGTGCGTAGAAAACGGTCAACCCATGAACCCTAAAGCCTATAAGCCCTAAAGCTCTGAACCCCATGAATCCTGAAACCCTCAACCCGCGAAAGCCCTGTAAGCCCCAAACCCCCAAAAACGGTCCCCAAACTGCTCCACGTAGCGAGGGGTCGCCCACGGAATGTGACCCGCCCAGACCTCTCCCGGGGCGGCTGGCGGGGTGTTCGTTTGACGTTTAGGGTTTAGGGAAACCTCGAGGTTTCCAGGGTTCAGGGTTAGAGGTTCAGAGGGCTTAGAGGTTTCAAGGGTGGCGCTAACGGGTGTCTCCAGGGAGATTTAAGGTTACAAAGGAACTCAGCCGGACACTGAATGCATCTTCTTTCGACGGCAACGGAAGAAAAGCCTGAACAAGAGGATGGAACAGACGCTGCTGAACGCACTGTAACATCCCGGCCAAACCCTTTCGCACACTGGGTCGCCTCTGCCACTGTGCTGAGCTGCGCGAGATCGACGTGGTGCCGCGAGATGCAGAGGTGGAGTGCCTAGACAGGAAGCCCCCAAAACCTCGAACTTCAAGGGATGAAGACTCGTACACTTAAGGTTATACCCCTAAAGGTTCCCCTTAGTGTACTCCTAATAGTATGGCGCTTATACTACTCGAAGGATCTCTCAAAGCCGAATGGTGCAACCTTAAGGGTCCAAGGTACAAACCCTAGATAACTGGGATGTCGGACTATAAGTCACTAATACACTCCTCAGGGCGTAAGCCTTTAATTCAAGGGTCTGGTGGGATTGCTATAGGGAATCTCGTGTCCATGGCTTAGGGTAGAACCCAGGAGTAGTTAAACAAGGATGGGACCCTAAACCCAAACCCCTTATCCCCGAAACCCTCAACCCCCCAAACCATATTAGCAACATAGGGCCGAGCGTACGGTAGTTAATCTTGTCATCATATACGGGCTAGAAGGGGTTGGTGCCCAGAGAGTCCAATAACCCTCAATTTAGCAATACATCTTCAATCGCAAGAACCCTCCCTACATAGCTTAAGGTCTACTCCTTACTTTAGGGATTTACCTTCAATTGAAAAGAATCCTCCTCAGACAGCTTCAGATCTCTTCCTTACTTTAGGGATACTGTGGGCTGTCCGGGGAGTGTACATTCCCTTGTGTTGCTTGCGTGGCAGCAGCCGGAGCATCACATGGAAGGCGTGCCGAACAAACCCGCCCCCCCCTCCCCACCCCACGTGAGCATGACGTGAAGAAGCTCCCGTCCTCCCAGATATGGGTGCAAGAGTCCTCATAGTTCTCTAAATTATGGTCCCTTTTTGGGTGCCAAAAAATAAGAGGGGCCGCCATATAATAGGGACCCCAAAAGGGGCTATCATTTAGAGAAATCAGCATTCATACCAACTGTATGCCCTACCAACTATAGGCCCTACGCCTGTTAACCTTACGCCCTGAATGCCAAACCAGCCTTCGAACCCCAAAACAAAAGGGGCAAACGGGTACCACAGGGCTAGAAAGGTCTACCGTCGGCCTCCATCTCAGTCGACACAAGACCCGGCTTGCTGAGATGCCTTCGCTTCGGGTCTTTGCTTTGTGGCATACTTGGAGGTTCATCGGGTAGTCAACAGGAGGGGTGCCGGTATGGAAACTAATACTTACAACCCTATTCAGGGTACTTACAACCCTACTCAAAACTACCCGAAACCCAAAACCCTGAACCCAAAAACCAAAACCCTACACCTCCAAGAAGGGTTTTTGGGGACAAGGGTTTGTGGCGGCTGGGCACAGCCTCGCACACCAACTGCGAGAGGAGCTGATGTGGGCAGGTTTGCAGCTACCTGCTTGCAGCTGCCTCGTTTCGGCCCTGAATAGAAGCACCCTAAACCTAAACCCTAAACCCTAAACCCGAAACCCTAAACCCTAAACCCTAAACCCTAAACCCTAGACCCTAAACCCTAAACCCTAAACCCTAAACCCTAAACCTAACCCTAACCCCTACACCTAGGGTGTAGGGTTAAAGCACCTCATTCCTGAGATCATTACTCAGAACCTCCACCCCCCCCCCTCCCCTCCCCCCCAGCCTCTCCGAAACGAGGTGGCCCAGTCGGATGGCCGTGTAGCCTGCAGGGTTTAGGGTTTAGGGTTTAGGGTTTAGGGTTTAGGGTTTAGGGTTTAGGGTTTAGGGTTTAGGGTTTAGGGTTTAGGGGTTTAGGGTTTAGGAGCCTGCAAACTCCCTAAACTTTGCTTGGAGGCTGTCTTGGGTAGTTATAAGTAGGGCTTTACGTGTCCTAAATAGGGTTGTGAGTATAGGTACCATACTTATAACCCTACTTAAACCTCCAAGCAGTGCTCAGGATTTAGGGTTTAGGGTTCAACCCTAAACCATAAGTACCCAAACCCCTCTGGGGTTTCCAGAAGGCCAGGAAACTACACAGAAACAACCTTAAACCCTAAACCCTAAACCCTGAACCCTAAACCCTAAAAACCTTGAACCCTCAACTCCAATCCAGATCCGGAAATGGCACCGTGGCTCTTGGCTATTGTTTTAGGTTGTCCAGTCACCTGGGAACAAACCAGGGAACCCTGTTGTTGGGTTTTTCGTACCGTGGTAAGGAAAACAAAAGCCCAACAATACATAGTCGCGCGCTCTTGGCCCAAGAATTCATGTCGCTTGCTCGCTCTAGACCCTTCGACCCTCAACCCCAAAGCCCTGGACCCTCGAACCCCCCAACCCGTGCAGTGCTTGCTCTGGGTCCTAGCCTAACCCCTAAACCCTAAAGCCCGAAACCCCCCTAAACCCTAAACCCCTAAACCCTGTAAGTCCTAGAAAACCTCGTCCGCACCCCAGTCTGACACCCTTGCCCTGGAAGCCCCCAAGGCTTGCATCTTCAACGTTGGACCCCTACGGTGGTACCCTTGGGTTTGGGGGACCCCAGGGGCTCCGATACTCCTTCATTAAGGAAGATTGCTTAAACCATATAAAGAGCCCTCCTTAGGATTATAGTACCCCAAAAAGTGCAAAAAGTGTGCTCACTCAGCTACGAACCCCCTTATACGCTAAGGAATATTCCATACGTGAGGGGTATTGGAGTTTCTGGGACCCTTCTAAGGATCCTCTAAGGGAATGTAGGGGGCCATCCTCGGAGAAGATGTAAGGGAACCTGAACCCTAAACCCTAAACCCTAAACCCTAAACCCTAAACCCTAAACCCTAAACCCTAAACCCTAAGCCTAAACCCTAAAACCCTAAACCCTAAACCCTAAAACTTAAACCCTAAACCCGAAGCCCCAGGGGTCCGAGGTAGAGTCCCAGCAGCAGCGGGGCCCCCGAACTCTTCAGCCCTTAAAACCCCACCATCTGGGTCCTTGGGTGCCAAACCCAAGTCCCCAAATACTGAGCCCCTTCTGAAATCGCCTAATGAAGCCCGAACCCCAAACCACAAAAAAAAACCCTAAACCCTAAACCCTAAACACTTAACCCTCAACCCTAAGCCCTAAACCCTAAACCCTGGTATCCCCGAAAGCTGCGACCCCACCTACGAAGCAGCCCATCTCCAGTGCCACCTTGCCAAGGAGGAGGGGCTCTGGGTGCGGGTCAGGTATTTGTAGGGGTCCCTAAACCCTAGGATTTAGGGTTTAGGTTTAGGGTTTAGGGTTTAGGGTTTAGGGTTTAGGGTTTAGGGTTTAGGGTTTAGGGTTTAGGGATTTAGGGTTTAGGGTTTAGGGTTCAGAGCCCCAAAACCCTGGACCCCAAACCCGAAGCCAAGCCCGAAAAGGGAGGGGGGGGGGGTAGGGGCCTAAGTTGCCCAAGTCTTGCCTGGAGGAAGCTAAACTCTCGGGTTTGGGGTTTAGGGCCGTTATAAGAAGCTGCAAAGTGCCCAAAATACGGCTACAAGTATAATTACCAGAGGAACCTCCAAGTAGCCCAGAGAGCCCAACATCCCGTTTTGAAGGAATAAACCTTACACCATACAGGGAGATGATGAGTTCAACTATAGTCCTTAACTACAGGGCATCGGGCTCCCCTTGCACTGAAAGACCGGGTGGTGGTTTAGGGTTAGGGCTCAGGGTCAGGAATCCGGAATTGAAGCCAAGATCTTGGGATTTGTAGAGTCTGGCAGGTCTAGGATGTGCGTTGTTGTTTTTTGTGCATGCGTGTGTCTGTCTGTCTGTCTGTCTGTGTGTGTGTGTGTTTCTCCGCGCGCGTGTGTCTCTAAGCGTCGTTGCATCATCATCATCATCATCATCATCATCATCATCACCATCATCATCACCATCATCATCATCACCCCGCCCCCACCCCTTCGCCACATGTGGTGCGGGACGGGGTTGATGCTGGAAGGTTTCAGTACGCAGCCGAATCCCTAAACCCTAACACCTAAACCCTAAATCCTAAACCCTAAACCCAGCAGTGCAACCCCCTTCGCGCACCTCACCCTCGCGCAAGGCAGCCGCATCCAATGCTGCTGCAACAACCTCCGATTTCGCGCCGCCGGCCACCTTGGTGGAGGATAGGGTTTATGGTTTAGGGATTAGCGGTTTAGGGTTTCAGGTTTACCCTATGGCTCCAAGTATACAAATAATTCCTGCATTGAGGTCTGAAGCCTGAAACTAATACTTACTTTGGGATTTTTTTCGAGCCTTAGGGTTAGGGATTTGGGTTTAGGGTCTGGGGTTTAGGTTTGAGGTTGTAGAGCCATGTCTACAATAGCTTACACTCAAATACCTCGATGATTACCTAAACCCTAGAGACAGGGCGGTAGTAGCACGGAGCGCGACGGGCAGTAGTAATGGCGCGGTGAGGAGTCTCAACCCTACACCCATAAGGCTAAACCAGGGCTTAGGGTTCAGGGGCTTAGGGTTTAGGGTTTAGGGTTTCGGGTTTAGGGGCCGGGGCGGGTGGTCCGCAAAATAGGGTTCCAGTTAGCTGCTGGGGGGTCTGCGGCTTGGGGCTTCCCCAACCCTAAGCCGTAGAAGCCCGGAGCTCCAAACCCTAAACCTGCCACCCTGAAGCCCGAGACCCTAACGCCCTAAACCCTAAAGCCTAAGCCCTAAGCCCTAAACCCTAGCCCTAAACCCTAGACCCTGAACCCCAAGCCCTAACCCCATAAACTCTGGAAACCCTAAACCTGAACCCCAAGCCCTAAACCCTAAACCCTAAACCCTGGAGCCCGAACTCCTGCGAGGGGTCAAAGGCCCGAGCCTTGAGCCATCGCTGGTTGGCGTCGCCTACAAGGCCCCGAGAGCCCAGGATTCCCAGTCTAGGGTTTAGGGGCTAGGGTTTCGGGTGCAAGGTTTAGGGTTTAGGATTTAGGGTGCAAGGTTTAGGGTTGAGAGTTAGGCCCCCCCCCCCCGAAAAACCTAAGCCGCAAGCACCCAATGAATCCCTAAGTTCCTATGTAAGGTTTAGGCTTGGGGGGCTTGTAAGTGTTTAGAGTCCGGGCTGGGGGGCCATGGGAGTCCTGCCAACCTGCGCTCAACGGCGGATATTCCCGTAGGATGCTCAAGTCGTATTCATAGGCGACACTGCCCTGAAGCCACCAGCAAGCGTTCAGGGTTGCGGGTTTCGGGTTCCTTCCCAAAAATGATGTTTTCAAAATACCCTTGGGCTTATATCCCTAAACCCTAAACCCTAAACCCTAAAACCCTAAAACCCTAAACCCTAAAACCCTAAAACCTAAACCCTAAACCCTAAACCAAAGACATGAAATAATTCCAGAGGGGGCTATAGGTTTTAGGGTCCCGAGCCTACGAAATCTTCGATGCTGCGGAGCACCGCGTCTGCATCTCCTTCCCGGGCACGGGCCTGCGACGCCGAACCCGCACCCTGGGGTTTAAGGTTTAAGGTTTAGGGTTTAGGGTTAGGGGTTTAGGTTTTTGGTTTAGGGCCTAGGCCCTAGCTTGTCGATCTCGGTAGGGAAGAATGGTTGACCTTTCGGTTTTAGGGAGCTAAAGGCCGGTGGCCTCTTTATCTGCTACCCTTATACCTTCGTATAGTCCCCAGATACCCTAACAAGTACCCCCTACAAAACAGCAACGCTACTTGCCCTTGGGTGAATCCATCTGTCGACCCACAGAATGTAGAATCTTAAGGGAATATGCGCATGAAAGGGCATGGTTGGAAACCCTTTTGACTTTATAAGTAGGGTTTAGGGTTTAGGGTTTAGGGTTTGGGGTTTGGGGTTTGGGGTTTGGGGTTTAGGGTTAGTTAGTTGGGTTATTGGGATCATTAAATTGGCTTCTAGGGGATACTAAGTAGATTGACGAAGTCAAAAGAGCTTCCCAGTAGGGTTCAGGGCTTTCGAGGAAGCGACTTCCGGTTGCCCCAGAACACAATACCCCAAACCCACATGGAACCTCCCCTATACTGAAATTGGAACCCCAGCAAAAATCACAAGTTTAGCTGTTTCTTAGGGATTAAAGTACCCAAAATCATAAGTCCCTACATCGGCCCATGTTATTCCTGTAACATGGCGGTTTCTCACAGCAGGGGTCCCCTTCATTTATACACCCCCAAAGATGAGAATCCTCGTTCTAGGAATATCGCAAAAACGGTTTACCCTCAATATGTTGGGAAGGATGTTCCCCCTTAGACTAACAGCCCTCAATAGGGATTCTCACAGGGGGGTACTATAATCCCTATTAGGGACTCTTAGTTAGTAGAAGGGGGAACATCCCAATAACTACCCATGGGCCCTAAACCCCTAAACCCTAAACCAAAACCCTAAACCAAAACCCTGAACCAAGCTTACGGTTTGAGTTGAGGGATGGGGGTAGCCGGGGTAGCGCACCGAGACGAAGTGCAGCAGGCGACCCAGCTTCTGGTATCGGTACCAGGAGGTCTGCACACGGCTATGTGGCGCTTTGGGGTCTTTCGGGTTTAGGGCTTAGGGACACAGCATCAAGAACTTAGGAGGTTATAGGGGCCTACGGCTCAAGCACGAGTTGCGCTTGGGTTTGGGGGCTTCTCGTTGGTCTGGGCTGAGTCCCCTTGGCCACTTCAGGGTTTAGGGTTTGGGGTTTCGGGCTGAGGGCTGTCAACCCTAAACCCTGAGACCCTAAGCCACAAACCCGCTCAAGCCCAAACTAGAACCTCAAGCCTCTACCCCAAAATGCCTCAACGGTCGGTAGCCATTTTGGTGTTGGCTTCTTTATAGAGAAACGAACCCAGAACCCAAAAGGTTCAAAAGCGCGCCACTGGGCTACGTATACGTAAATCCTAAACCCTAAACCCTACACCCTAACTAGGCTGCTGTCTCTCAAGGAAGGGGCCTTGCACCCTCTGGGAACCCCGTGCGCCTGGTCGTTTGGGCTTGGCACGGAGGTTGAGGCTGGCACCTCCATCGGGCCCGGCAGCCACCTTCTTAGTATGGGACATTCTGAACTATGGATTTTTGGGGTTCGAGGTTGAGGGTTTAGGGTTTGGGGGTTCGGGGTTTAGGGCTTCGTGTTTGGGACCTTCTGAACTTCGGAGGTTTTGGGTTCAGGGTTTAGGGGTTTAGGGTTTGGGTCCTTCTGAGCATTTGGGGGTGGGCTGTAGGGTTTAGGGTTTAAGTTTAGGGGTGTAGGGGTTTATCGGGCTTCGGGATCTCGTACCCCGAGCCCAACATACCCATGACTAAGGGATCGACTTGGAATCATGCAGGGATCCTGAAACCCTTCCTTCTCCAGTAACCAAGGAATAAAAAAGCTTCAACCTTTTTTTTTATTCCTACCAAATAAGACAAAACCCAACAGTTTCAAGTTCATCGATTGGCGGAGTAAGATTCTGACTTGAGGGGTGCTCCTTAAATCAGAGGTTTCGGGCTCTTGGGGTAAACTAAACCCTAAACCCTAAACCCTAAACCCTAAACCCTCAACCCTAAACCCTAAACCCTAAACCCCCAAACCTTGGCTTTAGGGTTCAAGGGTTGGGTGTGGGATCTCCTACCCTCTGACGGCTTTGCTTTTGCTCAACGAGGAGCTTCGAGTTTCAAGGGCTTTCTTGGCTTGGGGTTTAGGCTGCCGGGTTTCAGGTTTAGGGCTTAGAGTTATGGCTTTGGAGAGCAGCTCCCAATTTATCATCCCATTGCGCAATGTAGAGCCTTGTACTTGTGGGTCCACAAAAAAGGAAGCGGCGTTTACAGAATTGCCCTTTTGGGTTAGGCTTCAGGGGTGAAGAAGTGTCATGGACACCAACCACGGCGTTCGGCAACTCTACATGCGACTTTCACCGCCCTGCAACGTAACAGAACCGCCCAGACCCCAACTAGGTTTTCTGGGTAGCCCAGGAGTGTTAAACCCTAAACCCTAAACCCTAAATTGGAACCTTGAACCAACAGAGGGCAAACCACGGTAATGCTGGGCTACCAAGTTCTGAGAGGTTTTGGACACCTTGAACCCTTAAGGCAAAAAAACACAATGTTAAGCTGTTGCTTAGGAATTACGAATTATTCCCAAGTATCCCTAAGTAAAGCCCTGAAGCAGAACCCTAAGTAAAGCCCTAAAGCAGAACCCTAAGTAAAGCCCTAAAGCAGAAACAAACAAAACAAAAGGGAGCAACTCACAACTTTGGCAGGCGTGGATGGGCCTCGCCACAGCGGCGTTCAGCGGGGGCGCCGTGTTGCAGAGGAGGCGATGAAGCTGCGAGTTCACGGAGTTTAGGGGCTAGGGTTTATAGGGTTAGGGTTTAGGGTGTAGGGTTTACGGTTTAGGGGTTCGGGTTTCGGGTTTCGGGTTTCGGGTTTAGGGCTTAGGGTTCAGGAGCTCCAGGGGAAACGAGGTGATCCAGGCGAGGATGCATCCTTCGCTGCTCTAGCAGGGCATGTGCCCCCAAACCCCAAACCCTGAACCCTAAACCCCAAACCTGGGAAAAAAAAAACAGGTTGCTGCTGTCCCCTAATTAAGGGTCCATGTACTGGTACCAAGACGGTATATACTTGGGCCCCAAAGCTGCTACATGGGAATTCCTTTTGAAGGCCCAAGTATCTTCGATATAGGCACATGGACCCTTTGAGGTCTTGGTTCAAACGGACCGGAGTGTATGGGTAATCCTAAAACAAAAACAAGGGATTTGGGGCACTAACTTCTGGGCATACGAGTATGGGGAGATTGAGAGGCGCAGGTTAACCCTAAACCCTTAACCATAAACCCTAAACTCTAAACCCTAAACCCTAAACCCTAATTTTAAAACTAAGCTTTACGCTTTAGGCGGCGAAATCGAGGAGATGACCAGCAGACATCTTCATCCTCCGATTCTATAAGAAGCGAGGGTTTAGGGTTTAGGGTTTAGGCGGGCTTAGGGCTTAGGGCTTAGGCCTAGGGTTAGGGTTAGAGAGGAAGTCAGAGGTAGGATTTTGGCTGATGGCACCCACAGGACTAACATGAATTCCCAGTTTGCATGCAATTAGATTAGCTTTCATGTGCGTCTCACTACTGGGTAGGGCAAGGGAGGCTACACGCGGGTAGAGGGGACAGCTTACGGTCCTTCTCTGTTCTGCATCACTGTTTCTGGGTCCAGGTTTTTCTTTCGTGTTTTTCCTGGTTTTTTTTTCGTGTTTTTCATGGTTTAGGGTAGGGTGTAGGGTTTAGGGTTTGGGGTTTAGGGTTTAGGGCTTAGGGTTTAGGGTTTAGGGCCTAGGGCTTGCGGCTTAGGGTTTAGGGTTTAGGTTCTCACCTAAAAACGTAAAAAACACAAAAAGAACCAATAAAAACACGAAAAAAGAACCATCAGCCACTGGTTCTGGCCCGTCTGCGTGATGTAGTCCAGCGCTGCGCCTAGAGGCTCTGCTCTCTGTGCTGGTGTCGTCGGCATGTTGGGAGGGGCCTGACGGCTGGGGTGTGACGAGCGGTGCAATCTAGATCGGCCTTGCTCCCGGGAAAGCTGTTCGCAGGGGTTGGATGAGGTCCGCCACCCGCAGATTGATTTCGATCCGGCTGACCACGAAGACGCGCTGCCGTCTCTGCAGGGGCGTACGTCGAGCATCTTCTTCACATGACAAGTTAGAAGGATTGGGGGAAGGTTTGGGATTAGACGGTGTACGGTTTAGGGATTGAGTGGGTTCCATAACCTAAACCCTTAACCCTTCTCCCTTATTCATCCTACGCCATTGTGGCGTTTGGGTTCGAGCCCCGCAGGGATCCGCGATGCATCCACCCTCCCAAACAGGGGCTTGTCTAAGCTACCCCGTAATCTGAGAAAAGGGTTTAAAGGGTTGAAGATTTGGAGCTAGGCTTTTGCAGGATCCTCAGCAAAGAACAAGAAGTTCTGGAAGCATTTGGACTTTGCTAACTGATATCGTGTGAGAGGAGTATCTGACCCACTGCCCCAAGAAGAGCTCTAGGGGATTGATTGTAGGGTTTAGTTGGAGGTTCATGGGCAGTTAGAAGTAGGGTGACAAGTACCCTAAACATAGGGTTATACGTGTTTTTACCATATCTCTAACCCCTACTTATAACTACCCATGAACCTCCAAGTAGCGTGGCAGCTCACGTGGGGCGACCCGGATGAGGATGCGCGCACCTGAACCTCGAAAGCTGCGTCGCCGGCCCAGCTGCTGTGCATCATCAAGAACCTTTGGGCTTGTTTAGGGTCTAGAGGCAATTAGGGTTCATAAGGTTTATAGGGCTTATCGGCTGTATAGGGATTAGAGGGCTCTTAGGGAAACTAGCGTTCATAGGGTTTATTGAGCTTATAGGCTTTATAGGGCTTATAGTCGGGATTGGAAGGCTATTAGGGTAATTAGGGTTCACAAGGTTTTTAGGGCCTAGAGGCTTTATGGGGCTTGTGGGCTGTATAGGGCTTTTAGGGTTTAGAGGGCTATTCGGCTTCATAGGGTTATAAATAGGGTTTGTAGAGCTTGTGGGGTGTATGGGGCTTAACAAAAACCTTGAACCCTCAATCCACATTGAAGTAGGGCTTCTTTTTCTGGTATCCCCAGAGGAACGACCCATATATACTCTCACCAATGTCCCGGAGCAGCCAGATATGCAATAACAGCAGTCTAAACCCCTCGCATCCCTAGGCCCTCCAGCTTCAACACCCTTAGGGTTTAGGGCTTAGGGGTCTAGGATTTAAGGGTTTGCAGCGGACATCATCGGCGTGACAGACGACAACAGGTGCGCAGTGTCGATGTCGACTGTCATGCGGTTTAGCTGGAATTCTTTAGGTCCAAGCCTTCTAGCTCCGCGGCCTCGTTCTGGTGCGTCCTCTTTCCTTCCGGCTGGATCCTCACTCCTCGAACCAAAAAACTCTGCAAAAACGCTAAAACCCTAAAGCCGATGCCCTAGACCGCCAACATGAGGGAGGCTTTTGACAGTTCTGTGTAAGAACTTCCAGAAGCAGTCGTCCGAAGGACCTTTCGCAAACTTCACACTGCCTGGCTTCAAACGTGGAGGGCTTCTTCCCTCAGGGTTCAGGGTTCAGGGTTCAGGGTTTCGGGCTTCAGGGTTTAGCCTTTAGGGTCTAGCATTGCTTGGCAATACAGAATGTTTACCACAAACTACAAAACATTCTTCGCATGTTGTGCATTTACATCGTCAAGCTCAGACACTTAAGCTATTCCCGTTGCAGGTTCTCAAGTTCAAGGACGGACCCCCAAAACATCCAAAAACCCTCGGTTCCCTAGTTGAGGAAGTTTTTTTCCGGGCACCTGACTTAGAAGCCCTGAAGCTCCCCCAGAGAGACCAAAATTCGTAAATAGGGAAAGGACCTTACACTGCATAGGGATCCTTAGCATGTTTTAAGGTCTAATCCTTAATTCAGGGATATGGGCCTGTATGGGTCCCTTAGCCCTAAACCCTCAATTCAGGGGTGGTTACCATTCAGGGGTGGTTACCCGAAACACTAGACCCCTAAACCCCAAACCCTAAACCCTAAACCCCAAACCCTAAACCCCAAACCCCAAACCCTGTTGGGCTTCCTTCACACCCTTGCCGTCATGGCGCCCCTGTGTAGCCGCATCTAAGTTAACTCCGCACCGCTCCGCACGGCGCCTGGCCAGGTCCTTAGACAAGGCGCAGGCTTGGGTTTATAGGGTTTAGGGTTTAGGGTTTAGGGTTTAGGGTTTAGGGTTTAGGGTTTAGGGTTTAGGGTTTAGGCTTTAGGGTTTAGGGTTTAGGGTTTAGGGTTTAGGGTTTAGGGTTTAGGGTTTAGGGTCTAGGGTCTAGGGTCTAGGGTCCTGGGTTTGTAGGAGTTGGGCCAGAAGCCGTACCTTAAACCATATAGGGAATCCTCATTATGATTTAAGGCGTATCCTGGCCCCGCCGAATGCCTATGCTACACAGGGGACAGAAGTTGACACCTTTGAGCTTCACTCAGGGGCTGAATGCCTTAGATTCTATGAAACCAAAAAGTTTAAAGGTTACCTACCCAGTCCCAAAGTTCAATCAAAAAACGGCTGGGTTCTGAATGCTTCTCAGAAGAGAGCTGCCTGCAGTAGTGTTGCAGCTTGGAGCTCCTCATGTGGCTTTCAGCCAAGACGACATGCGGAAGCTCCTTTGGAGATCGCACAAGCCCAAGGGCTAGGACATCAACCCTGAAGCCCATACCTAAGCCCTGTCACCCTTCTACCCTACTTTGGAGCAAAACCGGGAAACAAACAAGTATGTACTTTTAGGTATAAGTAGCTATAATAGGAACCCAATCAAAGAAGTAAAGTATAGTACTAAAAACCCAGTCTAAACTTACACCCCCAAACTCCTCAAAATGTTGCCGCCGTGCCGCCCACAGAGCATCGGCTCGACCAAGGGACCAGAAAGCGCAGCAGAGTGCATGGACGGCCTCTGCAATCACCCAGCGGGTAAGAATCCTACCCAGAAAGGCCACATACCACGTCAGGCTGTTGAGGATATGGTGATTTCCGAAAGTAAGGTACCTTATTGGGGGTCCACTTGTAAGGGAATCCTACGTACTCTTCGGGGTCTCTTTAAGGGGTCCCGCATTTTCGTAATCCCCTATATGTTGTACCGATAAGAACTTTTTTTTTCCCAGCCACCCACGCCCCCCCCCCCCCCCCCCCCCCCCCCCCCCCCGTGGTGTTCTATGCAGGAAGCCACAGGACGAAACACCCTAAGCCGAACTTACCAAGCATCCGCAGTGCTGCGAAACCAGTCGAGATCTCACCATTTTCACTGTATGGGCTTAGCTGCGACCCAACTATGTGACTTAACTATTGACCAACTCACTCATGTCTATTTCCAGGGCCAGAACTTGCAGAGAATTGGGGTGTAGTGGTTTGCCTTGGGCAATTTGGTGCGCTTTGGAGGAAGATGCGAAGATGAGATGATGCAGAGAAGGGGATCCTAGCATGAATAGCTCCAGTCGCTTGAAGTTGAGGGCAGCCCTTACTCGAAACTAAAACCCTGTGCCGCGAACTCTGACCCCTAAACCGCATAAACTGAAGGCTGAAATCCCACCTCTCCCACCCTCTTGGGAAGAATTTGAGATCCAAGGAAACAGCCTGGCCTGTGGGTCGACTTTCTCCAGCTCCCTGGGCTTACGGTTGAGGGTGACAAAGTCTCGGGTGCACACCCTAAACCCTAAACCCTAAACCCTAAACCCTAAACCCTAAACCCTAGACCCTAGACCCTAGACCCTTGACCGAAAACCCTAAACCGTGGCTCTACTTTGTCTTCAGATCCTGCCCTCCAGAAAGGCTCAAAATCACCAGAATCTGAACCCTACAACTCTAAACTCTAAACCCATCGATTTCAGCACTGAATGGCTTAAAGTGCCTAAGCCTGAGCCCCTACAACCCCTAAAGCCCAGATCCTAAAACACTCTGCCCGCCATCCCGAGCCCAGACAACCCTTCATCCTGAACACTACAACCCAAAAACGCCCTTCCTCCCTTCCCTGTCGAGTTCATAAGCCCCCCAAAAGTGTACATTTTTTCAGTTCGATAGGGGATTATAGTATCCCACAAAGTGTAAAGTGTACTCATTCAGCTACTAAGCTCCTGAACCCTCCCTAAGCCCTGGACCATGAGCCCCATACAGCCCCCGAGCCCGACAACCCAACAACCCTGCAGCCTAACAAAAACCGCCGAGCACCGAAACAGCCACAAACCCAACCCTGAAGTTTAAAGCCCTCAGGCACGAGTTTAGGGTCCAGGGTTTAGGGTTTAGGGGTTTAGGGGTTTGTAACCCTCAACCCTCAACCCTAAACCCTAAACCCTAAACCCTAAACCCTAAACCCTAAACTGTCCTAAACCCTAACGCCTGTGGGGTTTCAGGGTTTTGGGCTTGGGGGTATGTAACCCTTAAACCCTGAACCCCAAATCCTACAGGGTTTAAGCATTTCGGGGTTTGGAGGATCTGTCTTGGCTGCACTCAAGAGGGTAGCTATAAATTAAGCATTTAGCTGCCT